AATTTAACTGAAACTATTTTGTGCTCAGAAAATGAAGGTTATCTTTATATCCAGCTTTCTTTAAATGAGATACAGCTCATATTTGTATTCTTTTCTATTTTAAAAAATTATTGAAAATTAGCTTGTTTTTTTTACCAGTTTGCATTTAGGGCTTATTATAGCTTAATACGAAATGATTTTGAATGGGAAGTGGTTATTTTCAAGCTTATTATCCTTAGCTATGAATATGTTGGTATGTTGATGAAAACTGTTGATTGCTCTACAGAATGAGAAAGCCATGCAAACCCAAGCCTTAAAAACTAAGCAAATGAGTGTGCTGTGTGAGCTTACTCTGAAGTGGCATTTAGTGAACGTAAATAGTTCAGGTGTAACTTACACCACATTATACTGCCTAGAACTTATTATAAACTGAAGTATTAGCAATTAGTTCTCTAATTTAGATTGTACTGGTTGCTGCTAGATTCGTGTGAAAATATTTTCCTTCAATTTAGGAGTTTCCCATGATGAACTGCTTGATCTAGCGAAGTTTCATTTTGGTGATACTCTGCCCACACACAAAGGAGAAATACCAGCTCTGCCTCCCTGCAAATTCACAGGAAGTGAGGTAGGGCAAACCTTTCCTAAGCTAGTATTTGGGTTTCTTTGTTGTATTTACAAGTGAGTGTACAAAATGTGCATATTTCTAATTGGATTAAAATAGAAGAAATCAAAGACTAAAACATACAAAAAGGAAATAGGATGGGCCCATTTGCTTAGGTTCCTTTCTAGTCCATATTATTTAACATCTGCTTTAATTTTCTTTCCTAAGGAAGCAAGGTTTTTAAGGGCTCTGTTATAATTTGATCTGGAAAGAGGTCTGATACGTTGGCAGCTATATAGAACTATAGCATCAGCAGTACAAAGATCAACCTGTAATGCCAATGTTGGTTTAAATTAGATAATCAGAAAAATTCAGATTGACAAATACAGATTGATTTCTACGAGTGAAATAATTCAACTCTTTTCGATCAGGTAACTGTCTGGTAGTTAAATCTGTAGTATTTCAGTTGGAGATTTTGGCGAACGTCTTTTTTTCCCTAATTTACGAAATTCTTCTGGATTAGACTATAAAATGTAACACAGGCTTGACAGTTAGAGAGTCATGGTGAGCATTTTAACTTTACTGTTAATGTGACTGATGAATTTATTTTTCTCTTGTTTAGCATGTTATATAATGGCTATCTAACTAGAGTTTTGTTTTCTTTACTAGATTCGTGTGAGAGATGACAAGATGCCTTTGGCACACCTTGCAATAGCTGTTGAAGCTGTTGGTTGGGCACATCCGGATACAATTTCGCTCATGGTCGCAAACACACTGATTGGCAACTGGGATCGCTCTTTTGGAGGAGGAATGGTAAGTGATTTAAAAAAGTAATTTCCCGTAATAAGTGGAAGATTACTGTGTTCTTCCAAATACAAGTTCTTTGTAAGAATCCTTTTTTTTTTAAATGACAAAATGTAGCTCTGCACAATGAATTTTGATTTTTAAAATGTAAACTGATCCTGGACCGTAAATTTTTTTTTTTTCTTTTTGCCATGAAGTTTGTTAGTGGGATAATTGGCAAAATTTGAATAAGGACAAATCAGTTACTTAATAGTACTGTATCAGTATTAATATCCTGATCTTAATAATTGTACTGATCTAATGTAAGAAAATTTTTTTTTCAAGGAGTACACACTGAAGTATTTAGGGATAAAGGAGCACCGTTTCTGCAACTTAATGTCACTGTTGAAAAAATATGTATAAAGAGAAATGATAAAGCAAATATAAAGTGATAACAGAATTTAGATAAAGGGTATATGGGGAGTCTTTGAACTATTTTTGCAACTCTTCTGAAATTATTTCAAAATATAAAGTGTATCTGTCTGTACTCAAAGACTCATCTGAAACACATTTCATACAAATATCCTAGGCTTCACATGAAATATAATTTTAAATTTGTAAGAACACATAGCCACGACTCCTAAAAACTGGGTTGGTAAGTAATGTATCATTTTAGAAGTTGGAGCAGCCACTACATTAAGAATTTGATTTTTCTATTACGAATTTTTCCAAGGATGCACTGGGCTGGTAAGATAAGCATGACACAATGAATTTTTAATTATTGAGATGTTGCTGGATAAAACTGAGAACTCACCTTCTTAGGGCATTCACTATTTGCCACATGTCATTTTCCTTTCTGGTATTTTGGACACATGTGCCTAGAATTCTCTTGGACTGTTTTTTTTTCCCCCTTTACAGAACTTATCTAGCAGGCTGGCCCAGCTCACCTGTCATGGCAACCTCTGCCATAGCTTCCAGTCTTTCAACACTTCCTACACAGATACAGGATTGTGGGGACTCTATATGGTTTGTGAACCAGCCACAGTTGCAGACATGCTACATATTGTTCAAAAGGAATGGTGAGAAAATAGCTTTGAGTAATTTAAATCTTGTCTAGGATTCATCTTTTCGGCTAGTTTCCTTTTCACGTTGTTGATGGTGGTTTTAGCATTTAATCAAGGGACGCAAACAATAGCAGTGGTTGCCCTGTTTTCTAAGATAACCTTTTGTTAAAAACAAAACTCTAAATTGTCTAATAATGGAGAGGAGCAGATGTCAGGGAAGCTAAAGATGCTTTCCAGTCATTGCTGCTGCTCCTACAATCAGATCTGTGTGTATGGAATAGTTGACAGGATTGATTGGGAATTATTTCATTTTACCTGATGTATTTGTTTCTCTTCTTTCCCAAACTTTTATCAAGTTTTGGGAAATCCTTAAGTGCTCCAATACCACTCTGTAGACAGACGACCGAGGAAGCGGGGGTCCCCTTGTTTTAGGAAAGGTCTTTAATTTCAGAGATTTCTTCTAAACCTCATGTTGAAAGCTGACTTACACTATAGGAAATTTTTAGTCTCTCAGAAGCAGATTACTTCAGAAATAAGATCTCAAAGGTTTAAAATGTTTAAATGCCAACTAAGAAGTCATTTGGAAAATACAGGTTTTCCCCCGCTTTCTCAAAGTAGAGCGTTCCTATGAAACTTTTTGTAGTAATGACGTAAATCGAAGAAGCAATTACCATTAATTTATATGGAAAAATTTTTTGAGTGTTCCCAGACCTAAAAAATAACCTGTGAAATCATGCCAAATAATACATAAAACCTAAAATATAACACTAACAAAGCTATGATGGCTTGACGCTGAGATGCTGAGTGTAGTTTCCAGGAAAGGAGCTTGGTGATGCCACTCTTGCTGCTCAGGGTGCATGCTGCCTTTTTAACGGCTTGCCTCAGCATAATGCTGAATGCTAAATTTCCACTTCACGGTTTTTTTTTTTTTTTTTTTTTTGTAAAAGTGAAAATCTTCCGATTTCTTTGGGTCAGTGAAAACAGGCACTAATGTGATGTAAGTTTTTCGTAAAAGCAAAGTGGTATAAGAGCGAACCTTGGAAAAGCAGAGGATACCCTGTATCTCTGAAAGTAATCTAGCTTGGAAAGGCAATGCTCTGAAAGTAAATCTGAAGTTGCCATTGCTAAAAATGTAGTGTTTTAATCAAAACTAGTATCTTGAGTCAGTAGACAGAGGCAGAAAGGTTTAGAGCTTCTAAGAAAACTCTTATTTGGTTCTGGTTCCTTTATTCCATCTTCCTAAATCTAGGCCACTGGGGTGTAATTATTCATTTAGTTATTAGGTTTAAGTTAGACTCACCTGGATTCTTTTGAGAAACCACTCCTACTGGCTGCATCCCCCAGCATATCAGACCCTAACAGATGGCGATTTGTTTAGTCTCAAAATGATTACAGCATTTCTAAAAATGTGGTGAGCCTATTTTTATATTGTATTAAACTTTTGCCTGCCAGTCAGCAGTTAGACAAATTTATATATGGTTTTTGAGACATTTACACTACTAGGGAAAAGTATAGAATCAGTAATATGCTACCTTCTGCCTAGCTATTGGGATCATTAGTAACTTCAATTTCTTACAAGGGTGATAACCTTTAAAAATCATCGTCTCTTGTACATTGTGGTTTAGTATGTAGATTTTCCAAATGTTTTTTAGGATGCGACTCTGTACAAGTGTCACTGAAAGTGAAGTTGCAAGAGCCAGAAATCTTCTGAAAACAAACATGTTGTTGCAACTTGATGGTAAGGATAAAGACATAAGTTGTTTCATGTAGTTGATCTATATTCCAATACTTAGGTTTCCTTCTCTTTAAACAGGTTCAACTCCAATTTGTGAAGATATTGGTAGGCAAATGTTATGCTATAATAGAAGAATTCCCATCCCTGAGCTTGAAGCAAGAATTGACGTGAGTAGTCTTGAGATACTATTAGGTGTTGTGTGAAAAATACTTATTACAAGAATTCTTGTTATAAAAACTAAAAAATATATATTTGGAATTCAACTTTAGTTTTTAAATGTTTAAATGTTCCAGGTATAGAATTTTCTTTAATATAAAAAGCTCTGAATGCTAGTAGTATCTTCCGTTATTTCAGGCTGTAGATGCTGAGATAGTTCGAGAAGTATGCACCAAGTATATTTATGATAAGAGTCCAGCTATTGCTGCTATAGGTAAGCCTGGCTCCTTTTCCTCTATGTAATAAAACATTGGTGAAGTACTTTTAATTCTTAGTTTTAATTATCTTCTTTTTAATCCTTAGGTCCCATTGAGCAACTACCAGATTTTAACAGGATTTGCAGTAACATGTGCTGGCTTCATGATTAAAGTGCTCTTACTCAAAACGTTTTCAGCATATGTATTTATAAAACAGACTTACAAGGTTTAAGCTGTAAGTTCTTAAAGGAAAAAATAAAACACGAACATGTTATATTTGGAAATTTGAATGAAATATTATGTCAGGATTTCGAAGGATAAGATTACTACTGTCCTGAACGTTGTTCTGTGGTTGATCTTCATACTCAGAAATTATTGGAGGCAGCACTTCCAAATGATCACCATAATAATTAGAATTTCAAGAATGAAAATTTGTACAGTATTTTCAGTTTTATTATAAAAATGCACACACAACAAAGATTGTCATTGAGTCATTTCTTGGCTCTACTTGCATTCATCACTTGCTCTTGAGCAGCTTTCTTTGCTTTTACCATCTCAACAAGTTCCTAGGAAGGAAGAAAGGTGTTATTTAAACTAAGAAGTTCTAAGAATCTGCAAACAGATGTTTGACACAAATATGCAAATAATTCAAATGGGATGGTTCTATAATTATGATAGTACCAAAAGGGTTGATTTCACTAACTGCAAGAACTAGGAAGATTTCTGTTTGGAAAAGTTTCTAAGGTTGGTCATTTCATTATACAAATACTGGCCCCATAGCTGCTTCTGACATAAACACAACATATTAGGTATTATTACCCAATTACTCAAGTATGAAAACACCAGCTACAGCACAAGTTACAATTTAAGTGATAATGGAATTTATAAACTCTAAAAATATATAACCTTGTATCGTTTCATGCAGTCTTTCTTTGTTCTGCCAGGCACTGTGTCTGCTATTTTTTCCCATCTTTCAGGTGTATTTACTGGATACGTTTTCAAAGCTTGTTCCAAAAGCTTCTGTTCTTCTGTTGTCCAAGGGGTGAAATCTGTGCACGGACCTGCTTAAGAAAAAAAATTTTTGAAAGATCTCATCCTAATGATAGGAAATTGTTTTGAAACACCTTCCCAGATGTGTCTTTTGGGGCACAGTTACCTCGCTAAGTGCCCATTAAATCTGGGATATGTAATATTGAACTTTTAGGGATATGACACATACATAAACTTCAAAGTGTCAGTGAGAAAGAAAAATACTTCCAATAGCTCACATATCGGAAAATTAAATATCTGAAGGTCTTTTTAAACATGGTATAAATCAGCTTTATACTGCTGGTCTCTTACAACCTAATATTTTACTCACCAAACCCCCCCCCCTTTTTTTAAATCAGATTTGAATTTACAGTTTGACTTCTGGGTTCAAAACCAATCATAAGTGATTTAAGATTTCTCATCAATCTAGTATCTCGTAAGTAGGGAAAAGAGCTATCTCATAGTTAGAAAATTTTTAGCTGCACAAGACCCTGGAAACCATTCCAGTTTTACACTGGAGGAGAAACAAGTCTATCAAAGTGCCGAAGGTTTCAGTGCTACAGGGTCAAGCTGAGATGAGAGTCAATGTTCTATCTGGTGGTCTTCACCACATCCATGAAGTCTCCTGGAGCCAATGAGAACACGTCTATGGCTAATGTTACTCTCTTTAACTAATAAAGGTCTCATACACATATTAGAAACAAATATATTCATTTTTATTTCTAACAATGTAAGTATACACAGCCCACTTCCATAGGAAAAATGAGAATGTTAAATTGTTAAAACGTTCATTTGGCTATTCTGTTAATGGACTACTGGCAGATAGTTTTTTACAGGGCTTTGAACCGTTTCTGCCTGGTTCAGTCAAAGCCAAGGAAGCGTCACTGGGGCAGACCTGAATTTTTTAAGTTACAGTGAATCAGAAAGATAGGATAGCCAGAATGGGAAAAATTACAGGTTGAAGCCCTGCTAGAAACTTAATCTCCCTCTTAGAGAACAAGGGCAGCATATGCATTGCATAGCAGTCAAATCTCTTGCCATTGGATCTTGAGCAGTCTGAAGCAGTGCTGCCCTGCTCAAAGATGGTGGCCGACTGTGCTACTTTGTGTGTTCCTCTCATAGTCCTGCCAATAATCCTATATCATGCATCAGGCTCCAAGAAAGCCTCACTATGCCTCTTCCGAGTCTCCCATTCCAGGGCCTCGACACATAATTTTTCCTGTTCATGTACTGTGCCAAATCTATCAAATTGTAAAACTTCGAGTCTGTTCCTGTTTCGCTTCCTTAGCCATGACTGAAACAGTGTGAAGCCCTGATTTTTTCAGGTCACGCAGTGAAAATGTAGTAGCACCTATAGTAGCAGTAGTCTACTGCCTGAAAGTTATACCCTGTGAGATCTAGTTAAGCCTAGAAACCAAGGTTATTTCCCAATTTAAAAAAGTGACAGGTTAAAAAACAAAAAAACAACCTATTCAAAACAAGGCATAGGACCTGTGTCTGGATTTGAAGGCAGATTAGAAGCTTAAAAGTCAGCTTTTAAATTCCAGAAAGCCCTTAGTTGAATTTCCTTTTATTGGTCTGATGCCGCCTCAACACCACAAATTTAATTCCTCTTAATAAGTCCCACAAGAAAGGGTTTAGAACAACATGATTAATGTAATTGATATCACTAAATTGTACACATGAAAAACGCTGGCAAATGTTGTGTTACTAAAAAAAGGAGCTTAGGATACTGTGGTAATGTCTGAATGTTGTATGATATTTTGTGGAAGGTGTAAAGGAACAGAGCAGTAGAATAAAACCCGTTATAGAACTGCCCTCTAGGAATTCTGAATCTTCACTTTACTAAAAGAGCCAAGATAACACCTAGCCCAGACAAACAAATCACCCCCGATTATGGCAACCATAGAACAGTTTTTTTTTCCCCTCTTTAGAACATTAAAAGTCTCTTATATTTTCAAATGGAAATTTTGGAATAATAAACCAGACTAAGAAAAAACTGGGACGTGAGAGGACAGGTTGTCATGTAGAGTCAAGGCTGTTAGTTAATCCAAAGACAGTATTTGGAACTGTGATTAGAGTTCCAAAGCACATGTGAGATTAAATTAAGGGAGAAAGGACTGGTGGCTCACAAATGCATGAAGGTGCCTCTTTCAAGTGTCAGAGAGAACTTTTTTCCAAAAAAAATGCCAGCAACTCACAGTAAGAAAAATATGTCACATTCCCAAACACACATATAAATGAATAAAAGCTTCACAAGTAATACCTATCTGCCATGAGTTGGAATCAACTCAATGGCAACTAACAACAATATACTCTGGTATTTTTTATTCATGACCCACTAAATGGACCCACGTATGAGTCAGGACTTCATTTAAAAAATGCTGGTCCAGCATTAGCTAGAACCCCAAGATAATGTCAGCACCTCAGTTTTTACCTTTATATTCTGAAATAATTTCAGGCTTACAGGACATAAAGAGTTCCTATATACTCAGATTCCACAAGTACGAATGTTTTAACCATATTTGCTTATCCTCTTCCCCTTCTATTTCTCCAACTGACCCAGTATCTTTTAACACTGATCTGTAAAATTCAGTAAACCAAAAAAAACATAGCCCTTCCCCTAATAGCATCTGAAATGAAAGAACTGCAGTATACAACAAAAAAAACCAAACCTTTGCCGTTGAGTCAATTCTGACTCATAGTGACCCTACAGGACAGAGTAGAACTGCCCCATAGGGTTTCCAAGGAGCACCCGGTGGACTCGAACTGCCAACCTTTTGCGTAGCAGCCATAGCTCTTAACCACTATGCCACCAGGGTTTCCAGAACTGCAATGGTCTATTACTAATTGTGTTAGCTGAAGTCAATCTATGACTCTGGTGAAAATGCTTGCTTTATATCTTCTAGTCTGCTAAACATTTTATTTTCCATCAGTATGACCATACAGCTTAGGCCTTAGATCAAGTAACCTGGATACATGGCTAGCACTCTTTACTTAAAAAACAAAATTTAATTACCTTCAAATCGTTCCGAAGGCGTTGCATTTTCTGCTTGAGGTACCACTCCATGCTCTTTTTTAAATTTATCAAAAGCCTTTTTGTTTATGTCATCTTTTTGATGAGGATCTGAAAAGTGAAAAAAAATTCAATACATTATAAAAAACCAATCATCTCACTTAGTCTTTCATTAAATTGCAGAGTTTTTTTTTTTTTTTTTATGTATTCAAGGTCACAAATTGATTTTTCAAACTGTAACTCACCAAGTTTTTGGAGACTCTTTGCTTTGCCAATAACGTCTTTGGCAGTTCTCTTGACTCCAGAAGAAGAATGTATGTTCATGTAATTGGCAATAACTTCCCATCTAGAGCAACCAATATAACAGCTTAATGATAGTTAAGGGGGAAAAAAAACTAAACAAACAACAACAAAACCCAGAATGACCCTTACATTTTTACTACAGAAGGATTAGCTGTATTATCTATAGGATTAGCTCCAAACTGGTGGTCTAATTATGCTACTACTCTAAATTACTGTTGCCTGGACTATAGTTTTTGCTTTTCAGGTTTAAATCAACTACATATAATCTTGGTTTTAAGTTTGTACAAAACTTTATAGATTGTGTGATAAAACCAAATAAAATCACACAATTGTGTACACTGCCATTTTAACAAAATACTATCACTTAAGGAGATAAAGCATTCTGAAAACAGCCATAGTTCCTCATCTATAGACTGAAGGAGGCTGGCTCTCTAAAGTTTGAGTTCTAAACACAAGCCTGATGGACTCTAGCTTTGAAGTGTGCTCCAGTTTGAGTTGGAAAGCAACCATGGAGGATTAGGTGGCCTCCAACGGTAAAGAGCAACTACAGAACACAAAACCTAGTCCCTAGCACAAGCCATGACCAAATAAACCAACATGGCAGTCAAAGTTTATGTCTTGTGATCTTCAGTTTCCTGAGAAATTGATGAAGCATCTTGCTCTATGTATATATGCGTGTGTGTGTGTGTGTGTGTGTGTGTGTGTTGGTGTAATGGATAAGGCCAGCAGTTTCAAATTAGACCTTGCTTTTCAAACTTTCCACTGTGGCACAGAATTTAGTGAAAGGTAGTCTGTCTAGGCTCTGAAGTTTTTGCTGTAACCAATGCTGTGGATGCTTGTCTACATTATCTCCAGGCTCCAGTATGTGTTGAAGAGAAGTTTATGTAAAACCCGTACCTTGAATTTGTTCCAGCAGGGAAGAGGTTCACAGCTTTAATTAGTAATTGCAGATCATCTTCTGACCAATTTTTACTGCCATTTCCACCTCCACCAGTTGATTTCTCAGCATTCTTGGATGCTTGTCGCATACGAGCCTCAGCTTCCTCTTTCTCTTTTCTAATCTGCTCATTTATTTCTTCTATCTACACAAATATCATAGGTATGTCAGGGACTTAAAGCATCTTATTACTCCACGCTCCTTTTCTGGCTAGGGCTCTGGTCCTCTACTTTCAGGGTTAGCCTCACTCTGACCCCAGACTCATCCCAAATCAAACCCCAAAACAGGCATCAGCTTTTCACCCTGGCTTCCAGGCTGCATAGCTGTTTGAGGAACCAAGAACCAACCCCTGCCTGCCCTGCCCTGAACTCAAGTCATCCAACTTTAATTTGCCTTGGACACTATTTGACCCGTCTGCAGTCACTGGGTTAGTATTCACCCATGAGGCCATTTCAAACCTCTAAGCTCATACCCACGTGTGATAATCTCATTTATTCTCCATAAAAGGGTAAAGGCATTGCAGAGTGGCCTGTTTGATCTTGAAGTTCTACCATTTACACGGTCTCTTCCAGGCTACCTTCAAACATACACAGGTGACTTCTATTAAAAAAAGAAAACCTTGACTTTGTTTCTTCTGTCAGCACCTTGCTATCTTGAAGTCATCTTTGACTTATTTCTGCCCTTCAATCCTTAGAGTCAATCAATCACCAAGTTCCAATAACTCTAATTTTGAAAGATTTTTCTGGTTCACACCACTGCTTACATAGTCCATGACCTTACATTGAGATTCTTACAACTAGTCACTTCCACCTATCTAATGCGTCCTACATACAAACACAATGCCTTGCTACTCAAAGGTCTGCAGTAACAGAAACTGGTCATCAGGGTATTAACAACGCTCCTTAATCTAGCTTTACTTTTTCTAAACAACCTCTTCTTCCATCTATCCTCCATTAACTTTCTGCTCGTACTTCTATTTTATAGTTCACGTTGTTTCCCTGACCTGGACTGCCCTCCCCTTTCCTTCATTTCAACACTGTCCATCCTTCAAGGCCATTCCAAGCCCTTCACTGAGTCTTCCCTGACCACTCAGATCTGGGGCTGGCACTTCCCTATCTAACTGACAGCATTTACTGTGGGCTCTCTACCTTCTGGACCTTAGGCCTCTTCTCTTCAACCTGTTTATGCAACTCCTTTGTGGTAGCAACAGCATTAGGCGTTTCTCCAAAAATACCTAGGCACAATGCTAGACATATAGTAGCTACTAATACTTGTTCAACTGAATTGAACTTCTGGACCTTTGTAAAATAAAAAGTGTAGACTAGAAAGAACAAAGATCTCTTGGTACTAAATATTATTATCCTATGAAAGTGCTCAAGGAATAATCAATTATTTTTTCTAACAACGGTTTTGTAAAAGCTACGATTAACATGCTAGATACCACAAATCAAACACTATACATGTTAACAACTACACACACTAAATCCAATTTAATTCAACAATAGCACTATAAGTAAAACAGTGAAGGGACACAAAGTGGAATCTCTTTGCCCTTAGTAGCTTATACATGAGGTGGGGAAAGAGGGAGGCAAAAACGATAATATAAACAGAATTAAACGTTAGATATAGGTAGAAGCAATGTGTTCTTCTATTACCTGTTTTTCCAGAGCAGCCTTTCCTACTTCTTTAGTAGATGATGTGAGTGTTTCATTCAAGCACTGTAAGCTAAAGAAAAAAGGGATGAAACTTCATCTTAAGCACAAAGGAAAACTTCAGTAAGCAGTTCTATAGGTATACCTTGCTAATTCAAGTCGATCACAAAGTTTTTCCACTTCTTCCATCATTTTAACCCGCTCTGCTTCATTGTCAGAAAAGTGATTCCAGGTCTAGAAGCACAAACACAAACATTTTCATCTTGTACCCACCAACAAGAATGCATCCATGAACACAATTACAGAGCATGAACTTTTCAAAGAGGCTCTTGAAGTGAACCTGCATGATGGCCTTCTGACTGTCAATAATCATACTCCCTGACCAGCTAGCAATTGAAGGCACTACCAAGGAGCAAGTGAGCAAACAGGAAAAAGTGGACAGTATGCTGGACCTTTGGATGTTTTAAGTCACAGTGATTTCTCAGAGATCCACTAGGATCAAGAAATTCTGTATGATCATTCAAATTAAAATCTCTTTGGTAGGCTGCCTGTTCTATCAGTGTTTGCTGAACTGTAAAATCTAGTGAAAATTTTAAATGTGAAATTAAAAAGATAATATAGTGTGTGAAGGAAAAGGAGGTGTTAAGCAAAAATTCTGATTATGCTCAGAATGGAACACTGTAATGTTCCTGGACGTTCAAGAAGTATTTCGAAAGTACTTAACACCTTCTTTAAGCTGCTGCTAACAATGTCTCTCATCCTCCTTGCTTCCTTAATCCATGCAGTCTGGCTCTCACTAAACTGCTAATGCTCCTTTTATTGTTGACACTCCCCTAAGCTTCCAAAAGCACTACTGATTTTCTTCCTACTTGTCTGGTCATTCCTCAGTCTCTTCTTCCCCTATCAGTACTGTAAGTATTGGTGTTTGCAAGGGCCCCAGCCTCCACCCTTCTCATTCTCTATACTGTCTCCCTGGTGATCTCATCCACTCCCGTGGCTCCTAGTGCCATCAAGATTTAGATAATGCTATGAAGATCCCACTCTTGAACTCCAGATTTATACTCCATCCCCCCACTGAGTATCTCCCTTGAGTGTCATAACAGGCTCAACATACCCAAAACTGAAGTCATCATATTTCCCAAGCCTTTTTCTTCTTCGTTTTCTATTTCACTGAAAGACGTCATCACCCATGCAGTATTCCATGAGGAAACCAGGGGGTATACCCTCACTCCTCCTCTGTTACTTCCAACATACAATCAATCACCAACAGGCAGTAGCCTATTCTACCTTCTAAATATCTTTTCATTTCATCTATCTCTTTCCACTCCCACAGTAGTTCAGGTTGCAGTCCTCTCTCACCTGCATTATGGTAAAAGACTCCCAACTGATCTCTCAGCACCCTGACCAAAAACAACTCAGGATCCAGCTTAAACCCTTTAGCAAGACATATAAAGTCCTTCAAGTCCTGGCTACTGTTACTTCTTCAGCCCCCCCCTCACTTTCTAAATCACATTTCTCTGGATCTGTGCATTCTATCAATGCTCCTTGACTTCTCTCATCTCTAATCCTGTACACATACTGCTTTACTAGAGTAGGTAGTCCTACTAGATCCACAAAGCCTTCCTTGACTGCCTTGTTACATGCCTTCTCATCCTAGCACTTATCTTGAAGTATATGAATTGCTTGTTTACTTGTCTATCTCCATCACTAACCAGTGGATTCCCTGAAGGCAGGGACTATGTCATCACTGTATACCCATCAATTATAACTACTTGGCAGGCAGTAAGTGCTCATAAGATATTTATGAATGAATAAATGAACTCATGCTGGAAAGGAGCAATAAAATAAACAAATGCAAGAATTTTTACTCTCATTCATGCATCATCTCTAAGAACTACTCAAGCTTTCCATTTTCTTATTGTGCTTTTTAAGGTTTTTGTTGAGTTCTCATTGAATGTCAAATGTGCCAAATACTACACATGCCTTATTTAATCTTCACAACTCTATGACTAAGTATTATTTTAGCCATTTTATGTTGTAAGTTGGAAACCCTGGTAGTGTAGTGGTTAAGAGTTCAGCTGCTAATCAAAAGGTCAGCAGTTCGAATCCACCAGGCGCTCCTTGGAAACGCTGTGGGGCAGTTCTACTCTGTCCTGTAGGGTCGCTATGAGTTGGAATTGACTTGACAGCAATGGGTTTGGTTTTTGGTTTATGTTGTTAGTTGGCATTGAGTTGATTCCAACTCATGGCGACCCCAAGTGTGCTGAGTAGAACTATTCCATAGGGTTTTCAAAGCTGTGACCTTTCGGAAGCAGACTGCCAGGCTTTACTTCCAAAGCATCCCTGGGTGGGTCTGAACAGACAACCTTTTGGTTAGTAGCCCAGTGCTTAACCATTTGTGTCACCCAGAGAACCCTAACTATTTTATAGGCAAGGAAATTGAGGCACACAGGAGCTAAGGTAACCTCCTGTGGGTCCCACAGCTTGTAAGTGGTAGGTGGAGAATGACTTCAAACCCAGGCAGCTTGCCCTGAGTCTACTGCTATTTATCACTGTGATATACTGCATCCTTCTGAAAAATATTTTCTACCCAAGTGATATCTAAAAGTATTTCATTTTCTTCATTTTGACTTTCTTCTTGCTTACCAGAAGCCTGAAGAACTATCAATGCATGCATTTTTATTAACCTCTTTCAAAGCCTGTTAACGTATTAGAATGTATGAGCTAGTGTCTAGAGCCTCTGGACAGACACAGGAAAGATGACATAATTTTTCTATACATAGTAAACATTTACATACTTGCTGAATTTAACTACAGTGGTACAGTACACAACTCTTTCTGTATGTCAGTCCCTGCTATAGCTTGGAATTTCATTACTTTATTGAGTCAGTGCTGTTTTAAGGAACAACACTATTCCCTGACTTTACCAGTTTAAAATGTAAAGACAAAAAATACATTTCAAAACTTCTGGGGTTTTTGGTCAATATTTTTTAGTGAAGGTTGTATTTGAATGCAAACTACTAGTACTCAAATAATATCCCTTGATCTAGACACAAATGAGAATTTTTAGGTCTTTGAAAACAACCCAAGTTTAATTTCTAAGAGAAATTTTTTACTAAGATAAAAATTAATTTTAAACCATATGAAACAATCAGCCAAAACCAAATTGTGGGACATTCTACAGAACAAATGATGCAACTTCTCCAACAAATCAATAGCAAGGTGGCAATGGTAGATGGCCTATTACAGAATAAGAGCATCTTCAGAGACATAATTAGCAAATGTAATAACTGAAGCCTTGTATATACTGACCTTAATTATATCCTAATCTGAATAAACCAACTATAAAAAGACAATATTGAGATAATTAGGGGAATGTGAATGTGGAGGAGGTATCAGAATATAAAACAAATTTTTTTTTAAGTTTGGTAGTGGCATCATGGTTATGTTAAAAAAAATGAAGAGCTGGACACAAAAAAAATGAATGCAGGCAATTTGAAAATAAATTAATCTACAAATTTACACTTTCAGATAAAGTATGTACAACTGATTAATTATATTTGTATAGTATAAGAAAAGAAATATTTTAAAGTTTAATCAGCAACTTGATTTACTTGTTGCCTAGTTTTTGTTCAATCACACAGTCTGACATACCTTGCATGAATTTCGAAGTTTCTGTCTTTCCCTCTTAATGGCTTTTTTCTGGATATCTTTCTCCTTCTTTGCCAGTAATGCTTGTTGTCTAACTTCCTCTTCTTCTTTCTCTTTAGCTAACCGAGCAGCTTCTAATTCAGCTTGTCTTTGCTTTAATAATAGGGAATAAAATTATTTTAATAAGAAAACTAGAATTTCTAAATGTTCTACAATCTTACTAAAAACATTCAACCTTTTATTAAATTAGAAAAAGGTGACACGCTCCAACTTATTTAAGATTGAAGGCTGAATTGGGAAAAGCAGCTAGGAAAGTTCTACATTTATTAGAAAATGTAAAACAAGATTATAAATAAGCACTGAAGTAAAGGATTTTACATAAACATCATGTTGTTACTCAATAAAAATTTGCTGGTAAGGAAAAGTCCTCTATCAATTGTACCCAACTGTCATGATTCATTCATAGTAGCATCCAATTCTCTGTTCCAGATTATGGCTTTATAATAGATCAGAAGACTAAAGAATTCATGAATGTTTAAAGTCCAACTCATCTCACCTTTTCTTTAGCTTCTTGCTCCTTCCGTTTTGCTTCTGCTTTTGCTTTCTTCTCTGCTTCTTTCTTGGCCTTTTCTTCTTCCTTGAATTTTTTTATCCTTGGATCACAGCTATATGCATTATCTACCCAAAAAAAAGCAAATCTTTTTGAACCTTTAGCATTCAACTGAAAAACTTAAAAAAATAATAAAAACTATCAGTTATACTTACCAACCAGTGTTCTTATTCTGTTCATTTCTTCTTTTTTTCTTTGTGCCCTTGTTGCTCTATTCTGCTTTTCAATCCATCGTCTCTCATCACGACTATAAAATTTAAAATATTGGAAACAAACTACTGCTTATAGATGGTATGACTGAAATATGTGATATTTCATAAATTTGTATTGTAAATAATGTCTTAGAAGGTTAAAATGTTATGTCACTACAAACATTAGTCAAAAGGTCTACTCCTACTTAGTATTAATTTTCAGTAATTTTTTTGATATTTCTGTCAAGAGATACCCTTACACACACAGGGAAAACTAAAATAAAATCTTGGTTAAGCAACCAGAGTAATTTGCTGAATGAGCTTTATTGACAATTAGACTCCTTGGCAATTTCTTAAGCGTCTCCTAACCAACTACTGATTTGATCCTATCTACCTTAACTTGTAAGAAGGGATTTCAAAGTATCAAAAAGCTCATTTAAAAAGGACAGACAGAAAGAAAATATATGTAGCCTATTTTTGCTTCATCACACACAGTACCAAAGAAATTACTGAACATCTTCCGTTACTGATGACTTAGATACGTACCATTCTGCTTTTTCTTTTTCTTCTTCATCTAAATAAGAAAATTCTCTCCAAGAATCAAAATTATACCTAATACAAATAGAAATAAAATAAAATAAAGCCAAATCAAATGAAAAAAAAATTCCTTTTAAAATTAAGTTAGATGCATTAATTTTAAGAAACAGTAATAGCAAGTGTATGAGTTTGTTTTAATGGATCCTCCTCCCCCTCCCCCATCTTTTTTTGTTATAGAGCTAACACCATGCTTCATTCTCCTTTTCTAACATTTTTAAAATGAATGTATTTGGTGTGAAAATTTAAAATACACTCACCACCCCCAAATCAATATCACACCTCCCTGCGATCTCTTCTTTCTTAGGTTTCTCTCCTGTCTGGGACTTAGTTTTTCCTGCCTTCACTTTGACTAGTCTGTCAAGTTTTAAGGGAACTCTAAACCAGTAACTAGTTACCATCGAGTTGATTCTGACTCCTGGTGACCCCCATGTGTGTTAGAGTAGAACCATGCTCCACAGGGCTTTCAACGACTAGTTTATCTGAAGTAGATCACCAGGCCTTTCTTCCGAGGTACCCCTGGGTAGATTCAAACCTCTAACCTTTTGGTTAGTAGCCAAGTGAGCTGTCATGGATTGAATTATGTCTCCCAAAAAATGTGTGTATCAATTTGGCTGGGCCATGATTCCCAGTATTGTGTGATTTTCCTATATGTTGTAAATCCTGCCTCTATGATGTTAATGAGGGAGGATAGGTGGCAGTTGTGTTAGTAAGGCAGGACTCAATTTACAAGATTGGATTGTGTCCTGAGGCAGTCTCTTGAGATATAGAAGACAGAAGTGAGCAGTGAGACAGGGCACCTCATACCACCAAGAAAGCAGTGCCAGGAGCACAGTGTGTCCTTTGGACCCAGGGTCCCTGTGTGGAGAAGCTCCTAGTCTGGGGGAACACTGATGAGAAGAAGGCCAACAGAGAGAGAAAGACTTCCCCTGGAGCTGATGCCCTGAATTTGGACTTTTAGCCTACTTTACTGGGAGGAAATAAACGTCTCTTTGTTAAAGCCATCCACTTGTGGTATTTCTGTTATAGCAGCACTAGATGACTAAGACATGAGTTAAAAATTATTAGTACAACCCAGGGATTAAGATAACTCTTACAATGGTTATTTTGCCTCTGGTTTGTATCCTCTGCAGGTAAAAGCAACTACAACTGATATAACTAAATTTTATCATTTTGTTTTATAGTGATTGTATCTTTTTGTATTTACTAGACACTTAATGAGAAAATATGCCACGTATAATACAAAATGGCCACTAATTTTTATTACAAATTAGTGGATTCATTATAGAGACAAATAGCATTGTCTACTTCCTCATGTACACAGGTACTTTTTTTTAATTTTTATTTTTTATTATTGTACTTTTTCTTCTTTTCTTATTGTACTTTAGATGAAGGTTTACAGAACAAATTACCTTCTCATTAAACAATTAGTAGACATATTGTTTGTGACATTGGTTGCCAATCCCATGACATGTCAACACTCTCACCTCTCGACCTTGGATCCTATTACCAGCTTTCCTGTCCCCTCCTGCCTTCTAGTTCTTGCCCACGGGCTGGTGTGCCACTTTAGTCTCGTTTTGTTTTATGGGGGTGTCTAATCTTTGGCTGAAGGGTGAACCTCGGGAGTAACTTCATTACTGAGCTAAAAGGGTGTCCGGGGGCCATACTCTCGGGGTTTCTCTAGTCTCTGTCTGGCCAGTAAGTCAGGTCTTTTTTTTGTGTGTGAGTTAGAATTCTGTTCTACATTTTTCTCCAGCTCTGTCTGGGATCCTCTATCGTGATCCCTGTCAGAGCAGTCAGTGGTGATAGCCGGGGACCATCTAGTTGTGCTGGACTCAGTCTGGTGGAGGCTGTGGTAGTTGTGGTTCATGTACAGAAGTACTTTTAATAGGAAGAAAGCTAATGAAAATGTGTTGATTCTCACTGAATTTAAATGACTCCCAAATTTTCATTTTTTATCATTACAGTGTGTGTAATATCTAGAAATATGGTTAATAGAAAACAGACTTAAAAAATCATAAAAGCTTAAATGTTGCACAGGAGATATACAGCATAATGTAAAAACCTTTAATAATTTCTGAACACAATGATTTTGATGAGTGAAGGTTCTGTGATTCACTCACCCCTCAATTAACCTAGTACTTACTGTATCAAGGAGTCCCTAGATGATACAAACAGTTAACGTGCTTGTCTGCTAACTGAAAGGCTGGAGGTTCGAGTCCACCCAGAAGTGCCTCGGAAGAAAGGCCTGGTGCTCTACTTCTGAAAAATTAGTCATTGAAAACCCTACGGAGCACGGTTCTATCCTGACTCACATAGGGGCACCGTGAGTTGAAAATGACTTGATAGCAACTGTTAGTGAATCAAAGGCTTATTAAATATTTACCCTTAAAAAAAAAAAAAAAAAAAGTCAGTACCATAGAAACCATATTCACTTACCAGAAGGAGTAAAATGCATCCACATCTTCAAATGATGAATTCATATCACCAAGTTTAGGAACGTTTTTTTTATTTGACCACCTAAAATAGTAAAAGAAAAAAAACTTGATCAAAAATTTTTGTACAAAAGTTCAAAAGAGAGTCTAATTTGTTAAAATAAGCAAACAAATAAACCGTTTTTACCAATTATGCTGAAAAGTCTCCTCTCCCTATAACCTCTGAGAATAAAATATGGATCTGGGAGGTCAGCAGTGGTGCCCTGAACAATGTAGGGGCAATAAAAGAGGGCCCTATAGTGGGCTCGGGTGGAACAGTCTTGACTATCAGGTTATCTTCAGTTTTATAACATACAGAATTGCAGCAGTTGCCAGGCC